CCAAAAAAAAAAAAAAAAAAGAAAAAAAAAAAAAAAAAAAAAAAAAAAAAACACCCCCCCCCCCCCCAAACTTTGAACTTATTTAAAGTAAACCTGATATAGAATATTAACACTGATAATGAAATTTCAAGGAATCACACAGCACCACCTTGAGGCTCCTCCACTTATAAACAGGAACATATACAAAGAGTTAAAAAGGGCTAATGGGCAGCCAGTATATTCTGAATGGCCACTAAAGTGGGGTATACATGGTTCTATTTTTTTTATTCACTATGAACTAATTATGAATAAAGTAATCATTTTCGGCATTTTATCAATTTTTGACCCATTATCTGACCTCTGTGGTCCATATATCTACTATTGGGTTTGCCTCTTTTGTGTAATGGTTAGTTTTGGGTTACGGGTCAACATCTAATTAAATAAGGCGGAGTTGTTGGAATAAATGTAAGGGGCTTCCCAATATTTTACAATTTAGCTAGTTGTTACAATGTAATAAGAGCCTATAATAACATTTACTAACAAGTCTTAGCCTCACCTTGATGGGCCCTTCACGCATAATCTGCCCCAGTTTTGCAATGTTGTCATACTCTTGAATTGCAGCACGAAGGTAACGGTCATCATCTGGTTTGGAGGCAGTTGGTTCTCGTCCAAAAGTACCCTATAGAATAAACAGTTTTATTGGTTTCTTGGCCAGGCCTAGGCCATTATACCACTTGATAAACATATTTATATTAACATACATACAAGATAACAACTGCTGTTCTTAGGTAAAAAGGCAAATGGATGAAATGGATTCTACCAGTCCTTAGAAGTGGTTTGCCGCATTAGCTTTATTAATTTAAGCTAACAATATGTTTAGCAAGTACAGAAAAAAAAACCTGTTGATCTTTGGATCTTGCCAGAAATGCATTGTCCTTGTAATTTTCTATGAATTGAACTAATGTATCAAAAATCTTATCTTGCTTCCAAGCTATCTTCTGTAAACTACCAATTCCCACACCCACTATGTAATAGAGACAATGATAAAAATACATTATTGTAATCCTTACTGGGGTTACAACCATGGTTCAGTCAGTGGAATGAGTCTATATTGTCACCCTAGGACAGACAAGAAGTGTGATATTAGCAGGATTTTTAGGTTAAAAAAAAACGGAAAAAGCTTTAACTTTGTAATTGCCTTGTCTGAAATGTTTGGTCCTTTGCTGAATACTGGATAGGTGTTGCTAAGTACCAGGATGTAACATCTGTTATTTAAGTTGTCTTCTATATATTGCAGATAAGTAACATATTTTTAGTTTTGTAGGAGACAAGGATCAGTTCAGGGTTTGTGTAAACTGAGTGGGGGTGAGATTACAGACTGTGTTAGGGAGAGTGACAGACCAAATGCTGAAATGAATTATCCCCTGCCTAATTGTACCTTAATCAAAGAAAATTAAAAAGTAAAACGTCATAAAAGAATAGTTACATGAGTTCTTGCTGGGCTATTCCACAGATCAGTAATGTCACTCAAGTTCTCAGGCAAGTCATCTTCATGCTCTGCTTGTGCCGCCAGTTCCAAATTCCGACAAAAAGGATCCAGCCATACAGGGTTTGCCCTACAAACACAGAAAGAAGCACTGGCACCAGAGATACAGATAAAAAATGTAATATTGTTCTACTAGCTACCTATACTGGTGGCGAGTAACTCTTAAGGCCTGGCTAGTAGCTCAGGACTTGAAATTTTGAGCCCTGCTGTAGGGTATAGGATTGCTACAGATTACAGTACAGGCACTGAGCTGGAATGCCCAGGACATGAACTCCAACATCAGATCAACCTCTCCTACAGCCATACGATACACTACTGACAATACCTCCTCTGAAGTATGCTCTGGGAGAAGCTGCTGCTAGTAGATTGCAGCATGTAATCCTCTGATACAGTAACTACAAATATTGTCAATGATTTGTATAAATTAAGCTCCTGTTTACCATCTTAAAATGCCAGTCAAAGCCTACCATCTGTTTATAAGGTTGGTAAGAGAACACGTGCACCCTGAAAGTATCCATCAAGAGGCAGTTATGATGAACCTTAAAGTACTATTTTAATGAGTACTATGTATAGTGTACTTCTAACATTTAATAAATATTACAGTAAAATGAAAATGCATTTTATTAGCTGTACTCCTGAAATGAAAGTCAATGCTTTGGGGGCCTAAGCCTAGATATGTCTAAACATTCACAAACATAAGACTATGAGACCAGTAGTACTTGTCCAATCATGTTTCACTTGTTGTGTCGATCTGGATGGGCTGTAGTAAACTTACCCTTCAAATGAGTATTTATTAGTGTTGGGCATATCAAGAATATCCATGAAGCCTCTGTTTCCTAAAAAACAGTATAATATAACATTCATTTCACCATCTTGCGTATAAAGCTAAACATCCTAAAGATTTGCTGTGGCATATGAAAATAAGTGAGCACTAAGCACTGATAAATAACAAAGCCTTTCTGGAAGAGTAAATAAAATTAAGCCAAGTGATCACAAATATGGAAAAGTCAAGATATAACTGGTCCTGATCCCATAGAAAATGTATTATACTGCTTTGGCTCTACTACAGCTATCTGAAGGAAAACCAGTGCCCTATACTGAGAGAGAAGATATTAAATGAGCCATCCACGTGAGACATCACAGGCTCATCACAGTTAATAGAAATAAAAATAATCTGCGCTAATGGAAAAAACTATTAACACTAATAAATTAGAAGCTGCTACACAAAAGCCATATAGCCTAAACAATTCAAGAACAACTGTACAGCGCTAAAAACCTACCAAATAGTGTATATATAACCCATAAAAAGTGAAATAACACAATTGTTTGTATCAGAATAAAAGGTGCCACATCAATATGTATATATAGGACTGATAGCATAAATATTCAATCAAAAATGTTCGTCCTTTTTCTTTCACTTGGAAAACGTTTTTTTATATATATTTATATTTTTTTTACTATTGGACTGTCTTCTGATGTATTTTGTTTATTATTCATTACCTTTTTTGATTGAATATTTATGCTACCGTGTTTCCCCGAAAGTAAGACCTACCCCGAAAATAAGACCTAGCACTATCTTCAGGGATTTCTGTAATATAAGACCTACCCCGAAAATAAGACCTAGTTCGGTGGTAGGTCTTATATTACAGAGATCCGCTAGGTCTTACTTTCGGGGAAGCGGCACATAACTGTGTAAAAACCGGCCGCAGCTCCCGCCCCGCCCACACGCCCGCCCACACGCCAGCCTGCCGCAGCTCCAGCCCCGCCCACACGCCCACCGGCCGCAGCTCACGCCCGCACGCACGCAGCTCCTGCCCCGCCCACACGCCAGCCGCAGCTCCCGCACGCACAATGGAAGCGACATCCGCCGGGACCGGCAACAGCACGCCGCCTTCCGGGACCTCGTCCACTCCTCCCCCAGCCAGGTAAGACATCCCCCGAAAATAAGACCTAGTGTCTTATTTCGTGCAAAAAAAAAAAATAAGACACTGTCTTATTTTCGGGGAAACACGGTATCAGTCCTATATAAACATATTGATGTGGCACCTTTTATTCTGATACAAAAAATGGTGTTATTTCACTTTATATATTTGACACTTACTTATGGGTTATATATACACTATTTGGTAGGTTTTTAGCGCTGTGCAGTTGTTCATCACAGTTAATAACTTTCCTGCATGCAGTGCAGAATATTAGCCAGCAGAAGGCAAAGACACACAGCTAGGAAAGGTCACCCGCTCCCTTAATGATGCTGGCATGAAAGCTAGCAGACAAGATAGAATGTTGGTGGCCTCCTATAGGAGGTAAGTGGGAGCTGCCAGTTTGTCACAATAAGTATAACAAGACAGTATTTATGACCTGTTACCAACTCCCTTCTTTGTGTATGTGGGGCTGCGTTGTTATTTGTATGAGTCTTACAATATAATAAAGATTGTATTCTACTTTGGACCTTTTTTTTTGCCGATGTGCCATGAGACCCAATGCATCTAATAAAATCAATAGCATCTACTTAAAACTGCAGTATCAGTTATAGGTTAATTGATCTTTTAAATCACTTTCTAAAAGTATATCAATGACTTACCTGTAGAGCCAGCCACTACAGCTTTTAACTTTCTTTTGTGTCTGATAAGAAACAGAAAACAATTCTTATTACTGAATATACCGTAATATGACTTTTCATTGAGATTAAATACAACATTCAGAATAACAAGTTAGTTTTGTGACTACTTATGGAAATAATGTAATAATACATTAATAATCCAATGGTAGAAATGTGTTATGTAACCACTTCAGCGCTCACACCTATACAGTATATCCGTTATTGGTCAGAGCATTTTTTACATTTTTGCTACAAACTTTTTATTGGCGATACATTTGTTATTACTTAAGATATTATAGTAATACATATTTTTGTATTGTTTATTTCTTTTGGTAATACTGCCTTGCAAAATTAATTTATGATCTCTTTATAATCTAAAGATAAAAATGTAAAAAGAAACTTTAAATATGCACTTTTTTCTACTTTGACCACTGTTAGTGTAAAAAAACTAGTGTTACTGTGGTATCAATTTATTCTATAATTTGGCTGTTTAAGGTTAACTAAGAATTAATAACGGGGTTTAAATAGCAACTAATTTTAATCAAATACCATTTTTCTTTTTTACCTGTAAGATTGCTTTAAAGTAAAACTATGGGGTAACCTTTTTTTCCCATCGTTCTCTTTGGGGTCACCCAGCTTGAGAAATAATGTTTTGTTTTGTAAATATATAATATATCATGCGCGGTATGTTGTTGATTTTGCCTATAAACCAGCTAATAAGTTGTATCCTATACAAGTGTGAGTACTATTTATGTTGAACTTACACAGTACGGTAGTACCAGTTCATGAAGATGAATAACATTGCAGCCAGGAACAGCAGGATTGCCAATATAATAATTGCCATCTGTAAATACACAAATAGTAAACATAGTTGAGAAATGTAAATACACAAAGTATTCAACTAGATTTAGTTATAGAGTTACTTTAAAAAAAAAATACATTCATCTGGCCAGATTAAATAATTTCTGTAGCACCTTATCTGCAACCCATCAACCACAAGCCTGCTTACAACTTTATTCTACAACCTACTTGTACCCACAACTCATCTGATCTTCAGGCTTTGCACCTGCAATGCTTTTCAAAATGTTGTTTTACCATTGCTGTTGACATATTTAAACTTGACTGATGGATTCGTCAATTTTCTGTCCCTCAGTTAAAAACCCCAATAAACACACGGACTGCGCGACATGGATTTTAACGGCCACAGCAGCCCTTTTATTAAACAAACAACTTTAACAATAACCAAAGTAATAAACCAAATATACAAAAATAATACTTTAACAAGGGTTGACCTGAGAAGGGGTCTTTGGGTGCCCGCCAGCCCAAAAGGCCTCTCATAACACTCCACCCAGGTCCCCAGCCGCACCACAACCAGCTCGAGGACACTTACTCCTTCCGGGATAAAAGCCTCAGTAGGTTAGCAGCAGTTTTGTCAGCATGCCTTGCAAGATTCTTCAGTTCGTCTTTGGGCTGGTAGGTACCTGACCCTGTCATATAAGTAAAACATATCAAGCAAACACAAACATGTAAACAGAAGAGGGAATACTTACCTTTTTCTCTGGCTGCACTGCTGAACATGAATAATGGTCCCCCGTACTCAGCTGGGAAATCAACACTTTCAGTCTCCTGGTCTCCCTGCAACCCTCAGTGGTTTCTTCTGCATTATGACATGGAGGTCAGCAGGCAGGAAGTGAGGATAAATGCCGGTGGAGCCTGTAAACCCTGTCAGTTTTTATTGCTGCTTGTGCCCCAGGGGTAGATTTCTCTTTCATTCCCTGTCACTATGACAGGAAGCAAAGTGAAATCTCTCTCTTTTAGCAAAAACACAAGACACGGGTTCTAATCCTTCCCCATTCTATTCAAAATAAAAAAGTTTTAGTTGGACAAGCACTTTAAAGTGACTCTGCGATGAGAAAAGTATAGTGGCTTCCATTGCTGACCCCTCCTGTGAGAATGTTGATGCCTAAGTGCTAAGTCCATGACCTGAAACAACCAAAGAGGAATTCTGACACTTTCCTGACACCCATTTACAGCATGCTTGTTCTGGGTCTTCAGATCAAAAGTACCAAAGACAGAGCCAGACAATTAGCATTTTCTAAAGTGGGCAAGTCATTGGCAGACCCTCTACTTTTCTCATGACGGAGTCACTTTAAAGTGGGTAGAACCAATACTACTCTGCAAGAGTTCTAAAAAAGAACTGTTACTTTAACAAAGCAGAAAGTGTAATGCAAGGTAAGGATGAGGTAGCCAGTGACCTAGTAAGTATTCTCTTCCAGTTTTTAGGTAGTTGGTAGGGGTATGGATGCCCCTATGCAGGTTGCACTAAAGCTAAGGCTGACTATGCCGGCTATCTCCTCATGTCAAATACTGCAGAAACCATGATGATAGATGAGTGTTCTGTAGGTTCCCTTGAATTTATTGTAAAGCAGAGTGCTCAGGGAAGCTCATATTTAAGCACACAGCTTTGAATGGATTTATACTTTTCTTATTCCCTTGCACTAGGTCATGTGATATCACTAGCCATGTGATCTAGCCAGGTGCGTAGCTACGAATCATGGGGCTCCATTGCAAACTTCTGATGGGACCCCCTGGCTAACTCTCGCTGTAGCAGCTGGCAGTGTCAACAGTGACAATTGTAATTGTTCTTAACATAAAGTATGACTAAATCAAGGACAGGCAGCAATAGATTTGTCAGCTTTAGGTATAGGTGAATCTGACTTGGTTTGGTTCACAAACAGTTTTGCTAATGTTGTTAATTTCAAACAAAGAGCATGGAAAGCCGCGTACTTCCATAAGGGACATCAATGCCAAAATCAAGAAAATAAAAAGAACAGTATCTCTGCTTACACGGAATTGTCAGCTTTCCCTAACATTTCCAAAACACACTGACAATATTGGCTACCGTAAGCTCACCCTTTTATAGAAAAGTGTATGACTTATCCACTCCTTCATATTTTTGCCTTTTGTGACTCATCTGTCTAGGCGTAAAGACTATGCACTGCATTATAAGTGTTCCTTATTTCTATCAGTGAACGTGCAAGGTTTTTGGCCTACAGTCTGTAATCCGAGAACTTTGCCAATCCTCGGGATGCACCAAAAACCCATAGTAGTGGCAAACCTGCACCTCATCCCTCGTAAGCATAATCATTACAATACTAGGCACCCGTACTGTGGATAGAAGTTATAGTTGTAGCAAAATAAATAATAGCTATAATGATATTTTATATTATGCCCAAATTATTTTTGTTGTTGCACACAATTACTCCATAACCCTGATGCAAACTTCTGTAAACTCGAGCTCCTTTTTTCAGCAGAACTACAAAGTTATAGCTGAGGAGAAACTCTGGGACTTTTGATTGGCATTAGGAATACAGTTCTGTAGCAGACGTTTGAGGGCAATACGTCTACACTGCTACAAAAGCTAAGCAAATGCTTACTTCACAGAGAGGGATTTATGATTAGTGAGGATCCTGAGGTCTGACTTCAGCTCTTCTATACTGGAAACTTCACAGCTTAGTTTTCTTAACAGCCTCCCTAATGGGGGCTTCCTCCTACCCCAGGCCCCATAGCGGCCATGTGGGATGCTATAACTATTGTTACACCACTGAATCTAGCACAGTATGTGTAAATGATCAAGCTTTTAAGAGCATGCCACCTTAACTCAAGATTTTCTTTGCACTTGCATTAACATAAAGTGGAGCAACCCACCTTACAAAAGTGCAGCCCAGGTGGTTTATGATGACTTGCCCAATAGCCATATAACAAGGATAATCTGCAGGTACTTAACACACTGCAGAACCTTAATGTTAGTGTCAGAATGTAGTTGAACATCAACAAATAATCTAATTGCTGAAAGATCTTTCTCCCCCTGAAACCGTGCAAGTGTATTTTTCCTCAAAATTGTACATGTACTGGACGCTGGTAAGCTATATCATCTTTTGGATTCCTACAGTGTCCTGATTACCCTCCAGTAGTTTTTGTATTAGCTCCCTCCCACAAGCCTACAATGAAGGTGTCACTGTCAGCTAGTCCCCCCAATTATATGTTTATTCTACATTAGAATCCACTGGTGCAGCGTGACAACATCATTTGGCTTTGTACGAGCCATTGGGCAAAACTGGGCAATCCTGAAAGGATACTTATCTAATGGGGTGGGATCTAATGCAGTACATTCACAAATGAAAATTTCTCAAACAGCTTTACCTGTAAAGCAGACAGGTCCTCCGGAGCAGTGGGTGCAGTAGCTGGCTGGACATCCAAGACATTGTAATTGCGAAAGAGATTCCTTAACTGCTCTTTATTCTCATCAATCATCTGTATAACTCTTGGAATAGAAATAAAACCTTTTTTATTAACTTTATAAAAACTGACTATAAAGTGCTATAAGAAGCTAATTTTATATTTACATAACTCTTATCTCACATGTACAGAACTTACCGATCCACGTCAAGAATTCTGTTGGTATCGCGATTTACAACATGAATCAACATATCAGTCTGGGCAAAGTTCACTCTGCCTTTTTTGTCTACATGAAACTATGGGAAGAAAACAGAATTTTACATATAACATTAACATACTATGAGACAAAGAGAACATGAGAACTGGTCTACACAATCTACAAAGTTTACTTTGAATTGTGCAGAAAACACATAATGTGAGACATTGTATAAAACCCTAAATCAAGGAAAGTGGATGGAGTTTGCATGCATTAGTGACTAGATTAGCTGAAAAAAGATTAATTAGCCCTCAATAGCATCCAATGTGTTTTATGGGACTGTACAATATTCTCTATGAAAATCAATGTAATTGTACAATTTTTGTGGTAATCTTACCATATTTCTCTTACACTCACCACCTAGGTTGTAGGACACAATTGCAAAATGGAAGGTGATTTAAAGTTCTACCAAATTCAGCAATCATGTGTATTTTCCTAGAATATCTGCAATAGGTCTCATTAGGAATATTCAACCTTGTGACATTCACTCAGTTTTTACCTGAACGTCATCTGTATTGACAATGGCTCCTGTGATGTTGGATAAAAGCCGTATAAATTCCTCTTCAAATTCACGCACTCGGTCAGGAATCTCATTAATAACTATCTTTAAGCGCTGGTCATCCCGTAAGATATATATCCCAACAACAGCAGTATCATTGTGCCCTGCCAGATCAGCGGCCATTATGTCAACCACAAAGTAACCAGGGCTGTAGGCGGTAAAGAGATCAAACGTCCGAATAATACCATCAACCTTACCTACAAAGACAGAACAAAGATGTGCAAAAGTATAATTAGTCTGATAAACAAAACAATTTACACTGTAAGATCAGGTGTTTAGGGTTATGGCCATACTGCCAAATTACTACAGGGAGCATTACTACACAAAGTATAAAACTGGACACATTTTACTGTAATAAACTTCCCGCTGGACCCACACTCTTCCTCAGGACCAATCCACAAAAACAGACTTCATAGTCATGTTCAGCTCATCACACAATATAAGTCTTGACCGCACCTACACTTACCACAAAGACCAGCAAAGACAAATACAGGGATGGCAGGTTTTACCTAGACTTAAGGGGGAACTAAAGTCCTTTAAATTTCTTTTTTTTTTTTTACATACATATGAATAGGATTAGCTTAAAGACCAATTGAACCTTAGGTTTAAATCAGGTAAATACATTCCAGGTGTATTAAAAAAAAGGTTGTCAATGTCTTATTGTTTGTTTCCTTTTGTAAAGAAGCTACAGCCGAGTAGAAAAACCTGTTCCCTGCCAGCAGCTGATCTCTTTGCAGAGGTCCGACATGCCTCTGCTGATTCAGAGCCAGAGCTTTCCTAATGCCAGAGAGCACAACCTTTGCCGATTGCAGTGCAGTGTGGTGTGACACAATCCACTGCATTGCACCTTGCTGAGGAGCATAGAACTAAATGAAATGTAATTTTGTTCTAACGCAGCTGCTGGTGTGAACGGCCCTAAGACGTTCAACAACTTTTGTTTAGATGCACATGGAATGTATTTAGCTGATTTAAACTAAATGTTCAATTGGTATTTAAGGTTAATCCCATTACAACATGTAAATATTTAATAAAACCATGTTTCTATGCATAGTAATCTATATGTTCAGTAAGTAAATGCATAGTACATTGGAGGCAGCCATAATTGCTTCATGAAGCATCTACAGCCTACTAAACAATGCTGCACTAGTTGATTCTTTGCAAGTCTACCAGACAAGGCCTGCCTGACTGAACATAATAGACACGATTATGGTATTTTTAGTTCTAAAAGTACTTTAACTGTCATAAAGAGGTAGCAAGGAGTAGTTCTTCATAAAGGCAACTTTTATCCAGTATGTAAAACAATAATTTATATGTTGGTATATTTCAAACGGTCGTCTGCCGAGAAATGTTCTCATGGTAGTTAGTGCCTCTGTACTTCTTTAGAGACCATAACAAATATGTAGCTCCTACCACTGAACTTCCCAGTTACTTGTTTTTGTCAGGCTTTGGCTAAGGCTAAGGCTACTGAATTAGAGTTAGCACATTATGTGGCTTTGTAATGGCTGCAATGATTCCACAGAACTGGGAATCCAGATCCAGCTACCTTGCCACTGGAGTTTCCAAGATGAAAGAAGCCAGCATATGAAAAATTGTCAACAATAACAGAAAACTATAAACCCACTTCAGGGTGTTCTTTACACTTAAGATAATATGAATAAAATGAATTCCCTTACCAATCACAAAAATATTTTTCACCTCCTCTGAGTCATTTGAGTTCTGTTTGATGTAGTGAATGCCCAAGATGCTGTAGAATACCAGACTATTATTGCCCACATCAGCATCAAGTGCTAGAACCTTTATAAGGTCGGAGCCTACTTTTGCATCAGTTGCAACACCTGAAGAAAAAAGTATAACATGATAAAATGAGCCTACAATAGAAAATTGGCAAAATTGCATTCTAAAACAAGTCTGTTACCTGCTGTATACTCTGTTTTTGTGAACCTAGGTGGCTGATCATTAATGTCCTCCAGGTAGATCCTAACTTCCTGCAAGGTTGAGTCAGTACTGGGATCAAAGCTCTGTATCCTCGCAGCCCTCATCGCTTTGCGTGCTGACCAATTCCTGTTGCTGGATGCTTTTATTGTAAGAGAGTAGTATGGTTCCTTCTCTCGGTCCAGGTTCTTCAGAACTGTCAGCTTTCCTTCAGGAGCCAGCTGGAAGTTGTTTTCCTCATTCCCAGCTAGAAAAGAAGCATATTATTCTTTATGAAGTCATTTTAAGGAGTTAACCTATTCAGCACAAACAGTTATGGATGGTTCTTAGTTTTTTTTATAGCTCTATGGGACTCCAGCAGAGGGATTTCATTGTCGGTGTTTCAATCTTTGACAACTCCCCACCTTCTGCTATTGTAATGTCTCAGTCCTGCAATAGCAGTATGCATTTGACTAGTAATGATGCACTCTCTGTATTGTAAACTAAGATGGTTATTCACAAAAGGTTGAAGAGTTTGGAGAATGCAGGAGAAGTGAACAATCTAGGATATCATAGCTGATTTGGAAAGATTCTCTAATTCAGCTCACTTTCCAGTTCAGTTTTGTTGTCCTAGATTGGTCACTTCTCCTGTCTTCTCCAAACTCTTCACCCTTTTGTGAATAACCCTGTAAATAAAAACAAAATCAGTGAGCATAATGAAACCTCATAGCAGTGGCTGTGGCAGGTTGAGGTATCTGGATGCTATAGTATGGAATTCTTGCTGCTGGAGTTCCAGAAATGTAGACAAACCATTGGATGTCTTACATAACAAGGTAAAATCAAAGGAACCTGTTAGAAGCAGGGGTTGTTAGCTAGCCACCATATGAATTGTCAAGGAGAAGTTTTAAAGGATAACTAAACTCAAGAACTAAAATTTAATATATTGCAGATTGCCAGTATTTAGATTTGATAGCTGCATTTGTTTTTCATTTTTCAAGCCAAGAACATTTTCAGTAAGTACAGAAAACACATGTTGATTTTTCCAGAAATGTTGTGACCTTGTCACTTCATGTGAGCTGAACTGGAAGGAAATAAACATTTTTTATCTTCTTTCTGCAAAGTATTCATTCCACCATCCCCTACATAATGGAGATGAACAAAGGCAAACACGTTTCAAGTACAGCCTGGGTGTATAGCCACCCAAGGGCAAGAAGTGTGTTATTAACAGGACTGCCGGTTGAAAATAAAGGGGGAGGAAGGCTGGAAAAACAAACCTAAAGCAACTACCAAGTCTTTGGACTAGTAAACTGCAAGATATCACAGTGCTTAGGTTTAGATAAGTTTTAAATAATTTCTGTGTGCTGGTTGTTTTCTTTTTTGTTTGGATCTGGCAATGATTGCTGGATTCAAATTAGGTCCATGTCATCCTACAGCCAAAACCCATTTCTAATAACTGTAATATGGCAATTGAAGTCTCCCAAAATGTAAGGGTTGTAATGTAAAAGAGGGGGTATGGATGGGAGTTGAATAGGGTATAGAGTATACTATGCCAATAAAATTAATACAAAGAGCATGGCTGATAGACAAGTACACATTTAACTCTGAATCTATGACCTCTTCAGATTCTCTTGTGAGATCTGTCTGAATCATAAATTGGACTTTTAAATTCAAGCTGAACAGTCATCTGCCACCACCATTCTAAGCTATGAAAAGTGGAAATAATGCCAGCTCTTAAAGCATATCCAACTTCTCTCCCCCAATCCTATGAATGACACACTTCCTGTCAATTCAGTTGCTACATTTATTTCTCCATTGTATTTATCGAAGGAGCAATTGTAGCCATCCAGGCTGATCTTCAAATATGTCTGCTTTTGTTCATCTCCATTACATTACAAGGGCTGATAGATCTAGTAGTGTACACAAGAGAGATAGATGTGCTCTATTTTAGCTCACAGGAAGTGACAAAGATACGACATTTCTGGTAAGATCAACAAATATTTTCTGTATTGCTTAAAATGTTCTTAGCCTGCAAGCAGAAAACAAATGCAGCCGCAATATCTGAGGACTAGCAAACTGCAATTTAATTGGACTGTAAAGTAATCAAGTGTAATGAACATTGACACCTAAACCAAACGGATTAAGTGGCTCAAACCAAAAGAGTAAGTAAGGCTCAAAAAAAGTTCAGCTTATATTGTCAGGTCTAGTGTGAGCGCCTCAAATGCAAAAAAAGTAGCATCAAGCAAGTATCGATATTTGAATTTAACAGACTAGATCAAAGAGTAATAAATAAGTACATGTAATTAAAACCTAAATTAAAATGTTCATGATAGAATCTCCATATCTGAAACTAATGCAATGAGTGGCTCTGCTTTTCCTAACAAATCGCTCCGTACCTGCAATAAAATAGTAGACAATGGCATTTGAACCTTCATCACCATCCACAGCGCCACTGACATTCCCCACTACAGTTCCAGTTTTGGAATGCTCACGGACAAAAAGCATTTGGTATTGCACAGCACCTCTCTGTAAAAAATAATAAAGCACATAAGACAGCACACAGTGGTATATGTAGTATATTTATATACAGTAAAATATACTACACTGCTTAAAGATAGATCAATCCATATAAATATCATGTAAGGTCACCATAAAAGAGATTTTGCACTTTGCTAAATTAAGACATATGGTTCAAAACTTCAGATTAAAAGAAATAGCTTCCTTTGGTTGCTACTGCAGAGCAGGGGCAAATGTATATATGAAGTATTGTAGGGCAAATTGGTGGAATCAGGCATGCTTTGTTACTCTACATATGGGCATAAAACACATCTTTTCATTAGGGTAAGCACACAAAAGTATAAACACACACACATATACACTCACTGGCCGCTTTATTAGGTACATCTGTTCGATTGCTTGGTAACACAAATTGCTAATCAGCCAATCACATGGCAGCAACTCAATACATTTAGGCATCTAGACGTGGTGAAGACGACTTGCTGAAGTTCAAACTGAGCATCAGAATAGGGAAGAAAGGGGATTTAGGTGACTTTGAACGTGGCATGGTTGTTGGTGCCAGACCGGCTGGTCTGAGTAAAGAACTGCTCAACTACTGGGATTTTCACGCACAATCATCTCTAGGGTTTACCAGGGAATGGTCCGAAAAAGAAAAAATAATCCAGTGAGCGGCAGTTGTGTGGATGAAAATGCCTTGTTGATGTCAGAGGTCAGGAGAATGGGCAGACTGGTTCGAGATAATAGGCAACAGTAACTCAAATAACCACTTGTTACACCCAAGGTATGCAGAATACCATCTCTGAACGTACAAAAGGTTGAAACCTTGAATCAGATGGGCTACAGCAGCAGAAGACCACACCGGGTGCCACACCGGGTGTCAGCTAAGAACAGGAAACGGAGGCTACAATTCGCACAGGCTCACCAAAATTGGACAATAGAAGAGTGGAAAAAGTTGCCTGGTCTGATGAGTCTCGATTTCACCTGCAACATTCAGATGGTAGGGTCAGAATTTGGCATAAACAACATGAAAGCTTGGATCCATCCTAATGTAATGTGGTGTAATGGTGTGGGGGGATATTTTCTAGGGACACACTTTGGGCCCATTAGTACCAATTGAGCATCGTTTAAATGCCTCGGCCTACCTGAGTATTGTTGCTGACCATGTCCATCCCTTTATGACTACAGTGTACCCATCTTCTGATGGCTACTTCCAGCAGGATAATGCACCATGTCACAAAGCTCACATCATCTCAAAACTGGTTTCTTGAACATGACAATGAGTTAATTGTACTCCAATGGCCTCCACAGGCACCAGATCTCAATCCAATAGAGCACCTTTGGGATGTGGTGGAATGGGAGATTTGGATCATGGATGTGCAGCTGACAAATCTGCAGCAACTGTGTGATGCTATCGTGTCAATATAGACCAAAATCTCCGGGGAATGTTTCCAACACCTCATTGAGTCTATGCCACAAAGAATTAAGGCAGTTCTGAAGGCAAAAGGGGTCCAACCCGGTACTAGCAAGGTGTACCTAATAAAGTGGTAGGTGAGTGTATTTTAGACATGTAAACCCACAAAAAATGTGTTTCGGTACGTTTCGGAACGATTAGGATTTTTATTTGTTTAGTTTTTCGGATCCAAAATTCAATTTGGTTGGTTATTCAGATTTCGGATCCGTCCAAAGTTTCTTTTCGGAATGAAGTCACATGACCTTGCCTGTAATGCAACCCCCAACAGGCAAAACAAATTCTGATTAGCCAGAGAACCGTCACATGTCTGACTTAGTTTCGTTTTGAATGAAATTCATATGCATCTGAATTTCGTTGAAATTAACATTCGGATTCATTCACTTTAGGACATGTTCAAATTTGGATGCATCCAAATTTAACGAAATTTGTACGAATGTCCATTCGAAACAAATCAAAATGTACATGTATATACATATATATTGTGGCAGCAGGCAGAGGAAAATATCTGAGTCTAGCCAAGATGGCAGAGTTGTATGCTCTAGATTCAGATATAATACTGAAGTGCATGTTTGAATAAAAGTGGGCAGGAAGCCCTAACAAGAAGTTGTTTACTAGTGGAAGTGTCTTGAATGCGCTACCCTTTGAAGCTAATCCTCACTATAATATATATATATACATACATACATACATAGACCTGAGACATCCCAGATCTCTTTAAATGTCCCTTACCTCTTTCCAGCAATGCTGCAGTAAGGGAGCAGGGAGCTTGCCAGGCACCCACCCTGCTTCCTGATTTGATGGGACGACTGGGTAGCCGCAGCAATGCTTCGTCACAGTTTCTTAGGCACTCAGGACTACAGCTGTTATTTGAGGCATGTAAGTGGCAAATGCTGCTGCGCTCTCTATCGCTGAGCTGGTGACAGAGACATCTTTGTGATCTCTGCACTGACTTAGTTACTAAAAACACAACGCTTGCTGTTGTGGTTTTGGCCTGTGAATGTTCTTATACAGTATGTTCACTGGATTGTGCCGGTAGAGAAAAATGAGTGTCCAGAAATAACTCCTTTACTGTGGAGAAAATAGAAATACAATGCATACTGGTTCTCTGTCTGAGCACTGCAGGATCACAGTCCCTTTCCATGTGCTGCTAATAACAGAGCTTGTTGAAAGCATAATATATAGTGTTGATTAAGTGTATATCGGTGCAAAATTGAAAAAAAAGAAAAACAACAACACTATTCAGTAAATCTAAAAATTCACTTTTCTCCACGTTTTATCTCTTTAAATGCAGCAAGAAAAGACTCTTGATCTATTGGAATGCAATGTGCTCCTAACTTGTTTTACTCACCGGTGGCCGGACAAAAATCGGCTCATTGTCATCAACATCGTCTAGAGCAATCTGAAGAGGTAGCATGGTTTCATAAGGCACTGGTTGACCAAGGTCATAGGCCACAATTATAAGCTGAAAAAAAGACACACACCAAAGCACAACAGAGTTATACACATTACTTTTGTACACAAAGAATATATTAACCCACACATTTTACAACACCGCATAATGGTAAAGTTACTGCTATACTTGTCTATACTTGTTGCAATCTTCTAGACAGTTATTAGAGTACACCTCTCATGACTTAAATACGGAAGATGCTATTGGTGAGCTTTTCCTACACAACTAATTGGCTTAAAGTCCAAATAAACCCTCTTAATTTATTATTATATACAGTAATACATAGGCCTCTTTTTATATTTTATTGGCCAAGTGCTGCAGCAAGGGTTAAACAATCCCTGTGCTGGCAGCTTGTTGGAGAGTTTCACATCTAAGGAGTAGCTTAGCGCACCAACACACTTCCCTAAACACTGGTTATTCTGCACTGCTGCTCAGGGTTCAAGAGAGATGTTGATTAGAGCAGTGTTCCATGGGGCATGTCGGACCACAGGAGAGCCAGAGTGTGAGAGCCTCTGTCCGACATTCCTATGTGCTGGCAGCACAGGTTTTTTTTAACACTTTGCATCACTTAGCTCATATAGAGACCCATATTTACTATTGTATGTGCAGCCTGACTGCATTACAGTAATAAACCCATGCCGATAGGGACAAGCGCCTCTTCCCCACAAGCCCTGGGGTGTTGGTTGTGGGGGTGCGTGGAGGGGGGGGCCTATTCACATCGGGGTACCCCTTTAATAAGCTGTGAGCCATGATTGGGCAAAGTCATCATTACATTGGCCATTCGTGGCTCTTACAGTGCACTGTGCTGTGATTGGGCCAAGTCTTGCACTTGACCTGTGGTCAGGTGCATTGCTTTACCCAATCAGGGCTTCACAAGGCACTGTGCGGTGCGCCCTGATAGTTCGTGTGTTCACTCGAACACATAACCTACCGATGTTCGAGTCGAACTGTTGTCCGACTCAAACATCGAGACCACCCCAACTCAGGATCAGAGTCACGTTCGGTGGCATGGGTGGCAGAAAAGGTAACCACTTCCTCTCTTCTTTGTAAAGACAATTTTCATTAAACACTTACAGTTTGCTGGCAGGGTCACATTAAGTATTATTATTATCATTATTATTATTATACAAGATTTATATAGCGCAAACAGCTTGTGTAGCGCTTTACAATATAAAGCTGGCCATGCACTTTACAACCATCCCAAGACGAAAGTCTTGCGATGGTTGTAAGCTAATTAAAATCTCGTATGATCTGCCCATCTTGGACAGGCAGATCGTACTTGCGATCATCGAAAGCCCGCCCCGCTGGGGGGCGGGCTTCCGATGACTCCAATGTCGCACGGGCAGTGTGTGCTTGCGCACACCGGCCCGTTCTGCACTTGTCTCCCGAGAACGGCACTAACCCGCCAAGAATTGTACGATTCTCGGCGGGTTTTCAAGCCTGCACGGGAGACAAAAGACGTGCGACCGTACAGTAGAAACGGTCGCACGCCTGCCATACACCTGCCAATTATTGTACGATCGCGGGATTTCCCACGATTATCGTACGATAATCGGCTGTTGTATGGGCACCTATTCGGGATGTTTCTATGGGACTTTGCATGCATTAGGAAGAAAGCAATATGAGAATTAAATACGCAACAACATGCATAAATACACGTATAAAACGCACTCAGCAACAGCATACAGTCATAAATGCACAGTACTGCATACTTGTAAGTGTAGAAGGCAATTTATGACATTTATTTCAATAAATAGGTGCACTTCATTCACAACACAATAGACTCTTGTCTACTTACACTATAGATGGCTTGCTTCTCCCGATCTAATCTCTGTGCTGTTTGAATAAGTCCGCTCATAGAATCAATACTATAATACTCCCAGTCCTTATTTCCAGCTCCAGTTTTTAAGAAACTGTAGCGTACTGCTCCATTCAAACCCTCATCGTTATCCGTGGCATATACTTCATATACTGTAGACTTTAAGGGGATTTCCTTCAGAAAAAGAAAAAGTTTCATACATAACCACCAGAGGTCAATGCAGCACAGTTTTAACAAAACTATATCTGAAAACCTCTGCAATTTTTTTAATTAACAATTGTAAAATAAAATGTAAAAAATATAATTGTAAAATAAAAATGTAAATGTTATAAACTTAAGTTCGTTGGTGCAAAATATGTGCTGTGTTTCTTCCCTGAAATGTAAACCCAATATACAGTATACTTGCAGGGCAAGTATACAATTCCCAAACTCTGCAAGATATACTCTGCAGGTCCTCATTCCATGTCTATAACACAGGATAATAACCGCTAACCGAGATATGGTTATCTAACAGAAAACCGAGATATGGCTATTCCCTATTCAGTGGGTTTGACTATATGAAGAGAGGTCATCTCTTAACCCCATCTATCGGTTTTCTCACAGATAACACTTATCACAAATGAGACTCTGTTTGACCAAATGGATCTTCTCCAATAGGAACTAAACCTTCACCTATTTAAGGAGTAACTGTCTTTCATGGTGATACAGCATTGAAACTAGAGGGTGGAGACAGGGTCATCCACTGAGTATGTATGTGGGTACACATGTAAGACAACGTTGTCGATTTTAAGTATGTATTGTTTATTTTTTTGGAGCTGGTGCAATCTTTTTCTATGTATAAAATAAAAGGTTTTGAATATATAAATTTTCAATTACGGTCTGATTTAACTCTTTCCGGTCAGCGCACAAGATGTTGCTTGCGACCAATTCTTTTTCTTCTTCATACTCAAATTACCCCTCTAATTTCAACTAATAAGACTGATTTTATTTATTATTATGATATGGTTTAGGAAACACTAATGTTCTTATACTGTTGTGTGTAGGTGGAGCAAACTATAATGAAGAAGCACAATACGCAGTTATGCATAGCAACCGATAGATTTAATTTTACCATATCAAATCAGATAAAACTGTACCAATCTACTGTACCAATTTGTGTGACTGGTAGTCAGGGTTAGATTTCCATCACTGGAGGCTGTAGAGAAACAACCTTTGACACTCAGAGCTTTAACCCTCTGCTGAATCACCTTTCACAAAGAGCATTTCCCTGATCAATCTGCACTCTTCTCCTGTCAGCAATCTTGCAGTGTTAGAGGGACAGTACTGATTGGCTCGTAGTGCTGATACCAGTACTGCTGTCAGGAAGATTATAGAAGGCTGATGTCAAGACAGAGTCACTTACTACATACTAGGTGAAAGTAAACGTACATTTTCCAGTTTTCAATTCATTAATAACTGCATTCAATTGTGGATTTTATTCCTTTTTGGAGATCAGCTATATAAATCTAATCACAAATAACTGAAATAAGGAGACCCTGTCATCTGTCCATTCAGAGCACAATGAAATTGCCTGATACTTCTGATAGCCAGCCTAGCAAGGTGTGCTCACCAATCCATGCCCCCCTGCCACCTCCACCCTGAGTGAGCTTCAGTATTGGTGTCGGAGCTAACCCAGGTGGATGATGTCAATTTGCTGGTGATTGGCCACTCAGGCCTGAGCACTGTCACATGGTGGAGGTCACATTCACTTCAATACCCATAAGTGAGGGCTCCAACAGATCAGGGAGGCAGCAAGGGAGTGTGAATGGGTGTACTTTGCTGAGGAAAGTGGGTTATTAGGAGGCACAGTCACTCTGCTCTAAATTGGGCAAAGTGACAGGGCAAATTGGGCAAAGTACACTCCATCCAGAAATGCCTAATTGGTCATACTTCTAAAACCCCCTTGTTGGTAATTTGAAGTGCTGGAAACAGGAGGCCAGCTGCACTTTCTCCAGGTTATTAAAGAGTTGGAAAATACATCCTCACATCAATCATCCCCATGAATGTTCTGCTCTCTACTGGGTTTGCTGGCCGTGCCTGTTCCATTACCCCCCCCCC